CATCATTCACTATGGTAAGATTTTTTGTTCTGATGATGCCTTACACCTGATCCCTTCGACACTGGCTGGATCTCTAAAGCCTGGCTGTGGGTCAGCGGCGTGATGGGCTGGACCCGACCTCTCTTTTTTAGCCGAGTTCCCACATTTGTTTTGCCTTTCCGACAGCATCGTTGAGTGCCAAGTCATCTTTGGCGTCTCTCCTCCTTTGCCATCAGGAGACGGGGGTTTACCCTGCCCCAGGGGCACCTTGCTGTAGCCTCTGCTTTCCTTCCCAGGGGCCAGGCAGGTCCAGTCATTCCATTTCCATTTTTAAATTTTTGTTTCCTTGAAGTTAATGCAGTGTTCCAAAAGCAAGCCACACACTCCCGCCAGGCGGGAAGCAGGATCAAAGCTTCTGGGGCTGCCTTCTGGAGGCCTGTTCTGAATCATCCCCTTCCCCGTCACACTTCCCAGTTGTGCCCAGGGCTGCTGATCTGGGAACACTGACGCGCGGAAGATTAGTTAGGTTGTTTCAGGAGCAGCTTTTCGACCACCCACATTTGAAGTTGACTAAATTCATACTTAATGCACCTTCGCTTTAAGCGGTGGTCAGACGAGCTGCTTTATGAATATTTGAAAATGTTCCTAGAGGCAAGGATGCTAACGCGCCACCACAGACACACATTTCTGCAAGACCTCATTAACTAATATAGAAATAAATAGCTCCAAGAAATGGGATTAACTTCACAGGAGGGGTGTTAACAGTGCCTGGTCCTCCTCCCAGCTAGGCTTACATAAATGCTTATTTATCACGATCTGTCTTGTTTTATCAGGAACACTCAGCTTCTGAGAAAAACACAGATCTACAAATGCTCAGGAAAACATACGCCCAGAAAGGGTGTATGCTAAATAAATCCCCACTTGATATTCTATTTAAAGCAATGGAGAGGCATCTGGGCTGGCAACCATTTGGGGAAGGCCAACAGGCACCGCGAACTCCGTCTTGCGTGGATGAGCGCGGGTAGCCTCCCCTCTCTCCGGCTTGGTCTGTGCGTGGCGGCGTGTGGAAAGCCCCCCGAAGACCTAGTAGGATCTGGAGTCTCTGGAGGGTGCAGACAGTTAGCACACTTGGTTTTCAACAGAAGGGTTGGCGGTTTGAGTCCACCCACAGGTCAGCCTGGCTGCCGACTTCCAAACACTAGCTCCTGACAACCCTGCAGGAGGGTTGTTCTCTGGCACCTGGCCTGTCACCAGGTCGGAATCGAGCGGAAGGCAGCTGGTACCTAACCATGGAGGTCTGTCTCCATGTACCATTTTCTGGCTTTGTAATTCTGGGCAAGTGACTAGACGTCCCCATGTCTCCATTTCCTTTTCTACGCATTGGTGCCATGCATGACTTCTGTAATCGTGTTGAGAAAACCAGAGGGTGGTGGAGTCTTTGTAAGAGCTACAGGTCTATTGTGAATTTCATCGGAATGTTTCCTCTTGTCTTTTGACCTATCAACAAGGACTACTTATTAGTTTCATCGTGACCTATGCCCACCCAAAGGACTCAGAGTTCTCCAGACTGACACCCTTTCACAACGGGAGGAAACCTGGAGAGGGCCTACCTGCAGCCTCACGTCTTCAGTTCAGATGAGAATCGGTGAAAATGTGGTTCCCTGTCTGCAGTGACCCAGCTCAGAAACGGCAAATACAGGCTGGACCGCAGGTGCTGTTGGAATGACCCTCCCATCTTTTCATCCAGAGAAGAGCCCTCTAGCCTGGCTTAGGCCTCAAAGTGCTCTATGGACTTATGCAGATTGAATAAGCAGTCTAATCAAGATAGCCGTTTACTACCCTCTTGAAACCCAAAATGCCCAACTAGTTGCCACCAGCCAATCCCGACTCCTGGCCGCCCCGTGCGGTTCAGAACACAGCTCTGTGCCAAAGCGGTTTCCTCGGCGGTGAGCTTTTGGGAATACATCACAGGGACTGTTTATGAACCTTTTACAAGACTGCAAGTGCAACTAGACACTCAGGTGCAGGTTACCTGGAAAGTCCCGGTGAAAGAGCATGAAACACGACAAGGGGAATTTAAGACTAGGAGAAGGGTGTTGGGGTCCTGCGTTGCGGAGACTCACAGCGACCCCGTGCACAGCAGAAGGAGTACTATCTAGGCCTGCACCAGGCACGCACTTATTTTATTTGCGCTCAGTGCTGCAGCCACTTGATTTTCCATCTCTGGTGCAGGGTCTTCCTCCTTTTTGCTGCCCTTCTACGTTACCAAACACGATGCTCTTTTCCAGGGACTGGTCTCTTGAGAACATGTCCAAAGCATGGGAGACAGAGTCTCAACCATCCTCGCCTCCACGGAGCATTCTGGCTGTCTTCTTCCAAGACGGATTCGGTTGCTCTATGGCAGCCCATGGTGAGGGCCCCTAGAGAGCCCTCTAGGGTCACTCTGTGGTATTACCAATGCACAAGTAGAAGGTGCATACGTCGCCATGAGAGGCTTGTGTGGAGAAGGAAAGAGGAGGATCTGCTACCTCCTATCATTAATTTCTGGGGTTAAAGTAATGCAAACAGAATGGTTTCCCCCCCCTATTCCATGGAAGGCTATGTTAAAGTTTTAGAAATATGTGGCAGCATATATCTAAACATTCAAATAGTTGAACTTTTTACTTAGTTGTTTTTAAAGCCTGAGATACAGAGGAAAGGAAATGGTCAGAGGACCTGGGTTCAAATCCCAAGTCTGGTACTTAATAGCCATGAAAGGCTCATGCTGGGTGCATGGACAGAACTTGCTTCGTACTCAAGTGAGCATTCAAGAGGTTAGAAGCCGAGCATAATGACAAGAAGCGCTCTGCCAGCGTGTTTTCCGTTGTCTTCATAAGCTCATCAAGACACTTTCTTGGTTCTGTGAGTACAGAAAACAAGGCCTGCCATGGACTCCTGGTGATGTCAGTCTTTATGGGAGCACACAGCCTCATCTTTCTTCTGAGTGGGGTTGGACAGAAAATGTTGCAGTTAGCAGGCCAGTGCCTGACTGGGAGCGCCACCAGCCTTCCTTCTGTGCACATAGGACATAAAAAGCGCTATGTACAAAGGAGCTTTTGAGATGAGCAAATCCCTCTGAGTCAGATGTAAATGCAGTCCTCAGCCAGTTCACAGCCTGCAAGGTGGGGAAGGGACCCTTGGGGTGCCCTGCTTAAGGCTTGGCTGCAACCTGAAAGGCACGAGATTTGAACCTACCCGTAAGTCACTCCACATGGGAAAGGGGGGCCGTCTGCTTTCCTGAA